AAGGATCTAAAAAAGGAAATTCTTATGAAACTAAACATAGCGCAAAGACGAAAAAATGGAAACTTTAACCTAACCCGAACTATAAAGGTTCGACTTTGCAACAAAGCTTATAAAAGGTTGTCTCCTGCTTTGGTCTTGTCTTTGTTTCATCCTTCGAATATCAAACTACTGATATTTTAAGAGACAGAAAGAGAGATTCATTAAGCAACACGATGATACTTCTTACCCAATCATCCGACACCACCGTTCAGAAATCTTCCACCGCCGTAACCCACGACGGAGAAAAAAGCGTTTTGTCTTTGTCGTCGTGGGTCAAAACTCAATTACTTGGAAGAGGCTCTTACGCTTCGGTTTATCTAGCGACAAGTAAAAGCCATAAATACAAAATAGAGAGGGCAATCAAAAGTGCAGAGCTTTCACGAGCTTCGAACCTCATGGACGAAGGAAGAATCCTAATCCCTTTACAATCTCCTTTCATCGTTCGTTGCTACGGAGACGAGATCGCACTAGAGGAGAATGATCCTCTTCATATACAATACAATCTGATACTCGAGTATTGCTCAGGCCAAACTATCGCAGACTTGATCGAGGATAATCACGGAAGGTTATTTGAGTCTGATGTGAAGCTATTCGCTAGAGATGTCTTGTCTGGTCTCAGTTACATTATCAGTATGTTGCTGTCTCAACGACATGTTGCTGTCTCAACGACAATATCAGTATCATCTAGCTAATTAAGTACCACTTTCCAGTCCACTGATCTCGTTGATGCCCTTCTCATCCACCAAAAACCATTGTACATCACCTCTAACCATGTCTTCAGAGCCGAAAAACGATTGTCCATCTTCACCAAGATCTTTCCTCTACCAATCCCAACACAGATTTGAGCAGTGATCTTGCTTATTTCATGTCTGTACATCGCAGGAATCTTGGAATGGAGATTCGCTAGCTCCTTCTGATCCGCCCATAACTGCACAAACTCGTCGCAGATCTTCTTTTCGATTAGTATATCAACTATCCAAAGCAAGTTACTGGCTTCTCTAGCGGTTTCACCAATAAAATCACCGGGATCATTCATATTGGAGGTAATATCGGACAAGCAAAGGATAAGAGAGAGGAGACATCTGTGACACAGACTGTAAAGTGCATCTTTAGACACATCATGATCAGCTTCTTCTCTAATCAACCTAAAGATTACAGATTTCATTTCTTGGCGTGCTTTGTTGTCTTTAGCTTGGAGAACACCAGTAAGGAGTTTCAAGAAGATTTCGTTGGTTATACTTGTGGAAGTGTAAGGCTCAGAAGATGATACTCTCTGCAGAACCGAATTGATCATCGCACCAGGAAGATCAAGTTTTTCAATACAAGACACAACTGATTCTTCCTCGTCTTCTGACCAAGGAACCGCCTCTAAGTACTCCAAGCATGACTTTAATCCCTCTTCAAACGTTATAGCTGAAGAAACCTGCCAAAGAATAAAACATTGAAACCATCACAAGAAGCAAAAGAACTAGAGAAGCCAATGTATACATTAAAAGCTCTCAGATTTGGCAAGAACTATCAGAGCCGATCACTTGACGTAATCTGAATGATATATCGAATGAGGATTTCTTACCAGAGTAACATAATAACTACTAATGACACACACACACACACACACACACAAAAGATGCAGCAGAAACAGTGTTACTGTGTGAGTAATTAGTCCACAAAGTTCAACTTTCCGTGCAATAAACAGATCAAGAACGCACAAAGCTCTCAGATTTGGCCAGCCATACATACGGTAAATGTCAAGAACAATCAGAGCAGATCACTTGACGCAATGTGAATAACACTACTAGATAACGCATACACACACATAAAAAGATGCATCAGAAACAGTGTTTCTGTGAGTAATTCGTCCAAAAAGTTAAACTTCCCTAGCAATAAACAGATCAAGAACACTCGAGTGATTCAAAGAGACATCGAGTATGACCTACCACGAGAAACGGTTCTACTCTATCCTGATCATTCTGGCCTTAACTGTATCCACAAGAATCAAATTCACTATATAAGAGGAGGAATCAGTTGCAATTGTACCTTAAGTAAAGACAAGACGTCGATGACATTTTCACCAATCAATTTGTTCTTAAGATCCTCACAATGCATCAACACCACAGTCTCTACAAAGACCTCAACATCATCGCACTCACTAATCTCCAGCGTGTGAGACTGAGACTGAGACTTCATCTTCTCCATGAAGATAATACCTTCTTGTGCACATCCATGGTAACTGTGTACCCGTTTCTGCCCACCAAACTCAGCTTCACGTTGCCAGGTTCGACGCTGTTCTTCAAGTCCGTCAAGATCTTGGCCACGCGCGTGTGGTATTTCCTCCTACGCTCCTCTTGGACTCTCCTCGTCTCGCGGTTTTGCTCATATCGAGAAGGGAGTGACTCGGGCGAGTGGAATCGTTCATAGGAGGACGAGGTGGTTTGGGGGTGAGGGTTTGGAGAGAGCCGTGGTTCTTGAAGGAGAGAGAGAAGGGTTAGAGATAAACCCTTGTTTGGTCATCGCAGATACTTCTCTTGACGCCATTGAAAGAAAAAGATTTAATTTTTCTTTGATTTCCGAGAAAAGTGAAGAAAAACAGAGAGCGATAAACCTTCAATTGAGTGAAATGAGCTATCATGGTCCGCTTTTTACTTGGGGGAATTAGAGGTAGGAGGGTCTTGTTTGTAAAAAGCTGGACAGGTTAATGGTAAATGATCATTGGCTTAATAGAAACACTAGTTCTTATTGTGTATTTGAACCTGGTGGCTGCTCCGATCATTTGAGATGCAGGTTCTATGTGGAGGGAGAGTCTGTAAAGCCTAAAAAACCTTTTAAATTCTCAAATGTAATCGCTAAACTACCAGAGTTTCAAACAGAGCTGAAGGAGTATTGGGAGAGCACCACACCTCTGTTCCATTCTACTTTTGCTCTGTTTAGATTGTCGAAGAAACTGAAACAATTGAAGCCAGTGGTTCGAAGAGTTTCTCGGGAAGCTCTTCATGATATCTCTAAACAAGTCAAGGCTAATTTTGAAGTTCTATGTCAAAAGCAGGAGCAGACATTATCGCACCCTTCGGAGAGTTCACAGCAAGAGGAGTGTAATGCTTTCGTCAAGTGGGAGAAGTCAGTGTACTTAGAGGAAAGATACTTAGCTCAAAAGGCGAAGTTGAATTGGTTAACAAATGGAGACAAAAATACGAAAGTGTTTCACAGGGCCGTGAGGTAAGAGCGGACCGAAACCGTATATGCGAGCTGCAATCAAATGTGGGCACTGTGATTCGTGGGGTTGGTGAGATAAAGGATGCAGTGGCACAGCATTTTTATTCGTTCATGAATTACAGACCAGACAACCTGAGGCAAATATCATTAGATGAGATGCGAGAGTTGTTGCCATTTAGATGCTCTTTGAGGATAGAATGAAACTGGTTGAAGAGGTTACTGCCAAGGAGATTCAGGAGATGCTATTTGCAATGCCATCAAACAAATCACCTGGGCCTGATGGGTACACGGTGGTGTTTTTTAAGGAGAGTTGGTCGGTTGTCGGACATGATTTGGTGGTGGCGATTCAATCATTCTTTATCAAAGGGTTCCTCCCGAAAAGATTAAACTCCACGATACTCGCTTTGATTCCCAAGAAAGAACAAACTGTGCAGATGAAGGATTATCGCCCGATTGCTTGCTGTAACGTCCTTTATAAGATAATTTCGAAGATTCTAGCAAATCATGAAAATTCTGCTTCCTCAGTTCATCTCTCCGAACCATCTGCGTTTGTACAAGATCGATTACTTCTGGAAAACTTGCTGCTCGCTTCGGAACTTGTGGCAGGTTACCATAAGAGTTCGATTTCCTCACATTGCGCATAGAAAATAGGTATCTCTAAAGCTTTTGATTCAGTGGAGTGGGAATTTCTCTTGATTTTTCTGGAAGCTTTGGGCATGCCATCGAGATTCATTCATTGGATTCGGTTATGCATTTCGACTGATTCTTTTTCGGTTCAGGTGAATGGGGAATTCGCTGGATATTTTAACAGCTCTTGGGGACTTCGACAAGGGTGTTCGCTTTCGCCTTATTTGTTTGTCATTTGTATGAATGTACTCTCTCACTTGCTCGATAAGATGGCTTCGGAGAGGTTATTTGGCTATCATCCCAAATGCTCGAACCTTAAGCTTACTTATCTCTGTTTTGCGGATGATCTTATGATTTTTTTGGATGGAAGACTGCGGTCAATGGAAGGGATTGTCAAAGTTTTTGAGGATTTCTCGAGAATATTGGGTTTACAAATCAGCATGGAGAAGTCGACTGTGTATTTTGCCGGAACAACAGATGTGGAACGACAAGCTATTGCCCAGAGATTCGCCTTCGAGCAGGGATCACTGCCAGTTCGATATTTGGGATTGCCTTTGCTTACTAAAAGGATGCGTAGTCTCGATTATGTTACTCTAATCGATAAGATCAAAAGTCGTTTCAACTCTTGGACAGCTAAGCAATTGTCGTTTGCAGGACGTCTGCAACTTATTGCGTCAGTTATCTCTAGTCTGGTCAACTTCTGGATGCAAGCATTTCGCTTACCAGAGGGCTGTATCGATTCCATTGATAGTCTCTGTTCTGCGTTTTTGTGGTCGGGGCCGGATTTAAAGCAACGAAAGGAAATAATCGCCTGGAGTGATGTCTGTAAATCGAAGAGGGAAGGTGGTTTGGGTCTAGAGAATTTGCATACCGTCAATGATGTTTGTGTTTTAAAACTGCTTTGGAGGATTTTCACAGCACAGAATTCGCTATGGGTTCGATGGATCAAAGCTAATCTTATGCGATGAAGTTCTTTGTGGCTAACGCCTGCTCCTACAAATCAATCTCAGGGGTCTGGGATGTGGAAGGAAATATTAAAAAGCAGACAACTGGCGGAGGAGTTTGTGAGGGTGAAGGTTTGAAATGGTTGATCTGTGTTATTCTGGTATGACAACTGGGCTCCAATGGGGATACTTTTATCGAAATTTGGTGCACGAGGATGTGTGGATTTGGGAATACTGCATACTGCAACAGTTGAGGAGGCTCTTCTCACACATCGGAGGCGAAGGCATCAACATAGTGACCTGAATGAAGTAGAGGAGGCTCTCGAAGTGGTGAAACGGGATTACAGAGCATCCGAGTCTGATCTTTTCTTGTGGAAATCGAAAGAGGACACATTTAAAGAAAGATTCAGTGCAAGGGATACTCGGCATCTTCTGCTTAGTTTCCCGCGAGTGAGCTGGTTGGAGGGAATCTGGTTTAAATACCATAGTCCGAAGACGGGGTTCATTGCTTGGTTGGCTATACGAAGTCGTCTATCGACGGGAGATCGTATGCAGCACTGGGTTCCACAGTTCTCTGTTTCGTGTGTCTTCTGACAAGAGTTGGTGGAATCTCGGGATCACTTGTTTTTTTGAGTTCCCATACTCTGCTCGAATATGGTATAACATAGCGAGGGGAATTCTGCAGAATGAATTTTCAACTGAGTGGCAACTGATTGTTAACATCATTGCTAGTCGGCAGCAGCACCTGGTAAAAGGATTCATCACCAGATACATGTTTCAGCAAACAATTTACGCAATATGGAGAGAAAGGAATGCACGCCGACATGGTTCATCGCCTTCGGATTGGACTGTTCTGGTCAAGTTGATCGATAAGGGCATCCGAAACAGTCTAAGATCAATTCGTATGCAAGGAGATAGCAGATATGACGAGGGAATGCAGCTGTGGTTCGCATCCAGGCCGCGGATTAGAATATGTGACAGAAGCTCAAATAGTTTCCATTGTTTTTAATTTAGCAAAGATTTCATGTAGTTTCAATTAAAAGCTCGCACAAAGATGTAGAAAACACTTTTTTCAAGTTCGAATAAATTTAACATTCATCCAAAAAAAGTTTGGAAAGAGAAGAAAGCGGGACGGTTTTTCAAAGAAATTCAAAGTATGAGTAAGCGCAGAGAAGAAGAACAAATAGAACAAAACGGAGAAAACTGGAAAAACAAAATCTTGGAGTAAGATGAGACAAGAAAGAAAAAAATTTGAATGGAATTTTGGATCGAAGATAGAGATAATTACAAAGGTGAAGGTGAAAAAGAAGGGGAGAAGGCCACGGTGACATTGACTTTGACCTCTTATGCTATTTTAAAGATAAAAGATAATTACCATTAAAAACACTTTTTAATATTTTGGTTACTGCATCTCCAATGGTACTCTATATCTTGTTCTAAACTCTATTTTTAAAGTAAAACGATATTACTCTATAAATAGAGCCATAAACAGTGTTGTTTTATATTTGGAGCAACATTGTTCATGACTCTATTTTTAGAACATAACTTTTTTATTTACAAAACAATCTTTTAGTTTTAATATTTTTTTATTTTATACCTAAACAATAATATAACTAACAATATACTTTTAATTTAAATTATAATACTAATAAATTATTATAAAACTATTTTAAATTAAAATTAAATAACAATATATATTAAACAAAGAAATACAATAATATAATAAACAATAAAATTAGAAATACATAATTAATAATAAAAATTAGAGATAAAAATTAAATACTAAAAAAAACTTAACACAATTTATTAGATTAGTAATCTAATACTCTGCTAAGTCGTTCCCACCTCTATGAAAATCACCAAAATATTGCTCGAATGAAGTAGATGTAGAAGGTGTTTGTTGATCAACCCGTTTCTTTAAAATTCATCTTTGTTCAGCTTAAACATATTCACGAATATTTGAATCTTGTATAGAATTTAAATCTTGAAGTAAAACTTTTTTTTTTTGAGTTTTTTTAATGCATAATTCTTACTTTGAATCTCCAAGTGGTGTTGTCTTTGTGCACTTGTCTTCTTTTGGTATTTTGGTGCTCTTATCTTATTTTGTTACCATTTTTCCAAAATATATTTTTATTAAAATTTACCTTTTATTCACCTCTTCCTTATTTTTTTATCTTCATTTTCAATGTTTGCTTCTTTTCACCGTTACTCTTTATTATCTTCTCCGGTGGATCATCTCCGCCATCCTCCGCCGTCTTTAACATATTTTTTCTGCTGTTTTCAAAATTCTTGTTTTCTTGTTTTCAGATTTCCATCAAGTAGAAGACTTCTTTTTTCTACCCCTACAAATTAGAGAGATATCTCACCGAAAATTTTCATTCCGTCTTTTCAAAATCATCAATATTAGTATCACAAAATTATATACTCAATCGATATTATTGTTGTCAGATTTCATTAACCATATGGACCTACTGTAATAGTGTTGTTTCTAAGTGACAAAATATTCTAAAGGGGTCCTGCTAGAGCGAGCTGAGGAATGTAACGGGCCGAAGGATCTGCTGATGCAGCAGGGTATGAAGAAGGCGCTGTTAGAGAAGAAGCCGGATAAGATCGAGAAGGATGATTAGGACGATATGCAGGATCAAGCTGTTTCGACGATTCGATTTTGTGTCTATGATGATATCACCAATCAGGTGATGAACATCACGACTTGCAAGGAGATGTGGTATAAGTTAGAGAAGATGTACATGTCGAAATCGTTATCCAGCAAGCTGTATCTGAAACAGAAGTTGTATGGGTTGAAGATGGCAGAGTCAGGCGATCTTATTGCTCATGTCAACAACTTCAACCAAATCATTGGAGATCTGGAGTGTGTGGATGTTAAAATTGAGGACAAAGATAAAGCCATGATCTTGCTGTGTTCTCTTCCTCCTCAGTTCGAGACTTTGGTGATAGCTATTACAGTCGAAAAAACGACTATATCGCTGGAGACGGTTTGTACTTTGCTGCAATCCCATTAGAAAAGGCGACAGAACAATCTCGTGGTGGACAAGTCTCAAGGTGATGGTTTGTACGTGAGTAGCAACCAGCAACGAGGAAGGCAAGAAAGCAGGATGAAAGTAAAAGGGACAAGTCGAAGTCTAAGCCAGGGAAGAATTTGATGTGCTTTGGTTGTGGTCAAAAAGGCCATTACCGAAGAGATTGTCCAAACAGAAAACAGAACAGTGGATCTGGTTCTGCAAACGTGGTTCAGATGGAGGATTCAGATGATAGTATAGGCGATTTGTTGGCTGTGACATCTGGTGATCACACAGACTCTTGGATACTAGATACGGGTGCATCATTCCATATGATTCCTCACAGAGAATGGTTTGAGACGTATAGGAGTGGGAACATGGGATCTGTTCAGGTGGCAAACGACATGTCATGTGGTGTCGTTAGTTCTGGAGATGTCAAGTTTCGCATGCATGATGGCATCATCAGAACATTGACTGATGTTAGGCATGTTCCAGGAGTTAAGAAGAATTTGATCTCTTTGGGTACTCTTCACAAAAATGGATTCAGACTCAGAGGTGATGAAGATGAAGCGTTTTGAAGGTCTGTAAGGGATCTATGTAGTGATTAAAGGAAAGATGACAGCTGGGAACATTTACAGGATGTTAGGGAGTGTGGTTGTAGATGGAGCTGTAGTTGCTGTGTCTGAATCTGATAGCACGACTCTTTGGCATATGCACCTAGGGCATATAGGAGAGCATGGGTTGCTTGAGCTCCATAAAAGGGGCCTTCTGGATGGTTTAAAGAATTGCAAGATGAATTTCTGCAAGTTTTGTGTGATGGAAAAATAGTCCAAAGTTTTGTTCAAGACAGGACAGCACACGACAAAAGGTCTTTTAGACTATGTTCATTCTGATGTGTGGGGTCCAACTCGGGAACTGTCATTGGGAGGGTCTAGGTACTTCGTCATCTTTATTGATGAATTCTCCAAGAAGGTTTGGGTGTACTTCTTAAAGCAGAAATCTGAAGTTTTTGCCAACTTCAAGGTTTGGAAGGCTGAAGTCGAAAATCAGGTAGAGAAGAAGGTTGAGTATCTGAGATCAGATAATGACACAGAGTATACTGATGGGGAGTTCCAGAAGTTCTGTGAGGAGCATTGCATTCAAAGAAACTTCACTGTCAGGAAAACACCACAGCAAAACGGTGTCAATGAGAGGATGAACCGAACTATTGCAGAAAAGGCAAGGTGTTTAAGGTTGAATGCAGGGATTCCTAAGCAGTTCTGGGCAGAGGCAGTAAACATGGCAGTGTATCTCATCAATAGGTCGCCTAGGAGTTCCTTAGAAGGGAAGGTCGCTGAAGAGATTTGGACTGTGACAGATATTGATCTGTCAAACTTGAAGATATTTGGATGTACAGCTTACATGCTGGTTCCAAGTGACGAAAGATTAAAAATGGATTCAAAATCCAAGAAGTGCATATTTCTGGATTTTGGAAAAGGTGTGAAAGACTTCAAGTTATATGATCATGTTGATAAAAAGAGGGTATTCAGTCGAGATGTGGTCTTTGATGAATAATATATGGTGAAGCAGGCGAAATCAGATCGAGTTCTTGTGATCATTGAGACTTAAACAGATTTTGGTACATCACAGGAGGAGTCTAGTGAGACTAGACTAGCAGCAGGACGTGATGGGCAACCTGTTGAGGTGGAGCAGGACGTTCAACATGGAAAAGCAGAGGAGAGTTTGGCACTTCAAAGACCAAGACGCATCATTAAGCCGCCTGAAAGATTAGGGTTTGAAGACATGGCGAGTTATGCTCTGATAGTTGGTTCAGGTGATCCAGCATACTTTAGAGAGGCTATCTCAAGTCTTGAGAAAGATTTCTTGATTGAAGCTATGACAGAAGAGAATGAGAGCCTAGACACAAATCAAACATGGGATCTAAAGCCTTTACCAAAAAGCAAGAGGGCAATAGGATGCAAGTGAGTTTTCAAGGTAAAACCTGAAATGTCTGAGAAGGAACCATTTAAGTACAAGGCAAGATTGGTGGCAAAGGGTTACTCACAGAGGAAATGGGTTGATTATGACGAAATATTCTCTTCAGTGGTTAGGCACACTTCTATTCGAGCTGTGCTAGGTTTGGTAGCGAGCTAGGATTTCCATCTTGATCAAATGGATGTAAAGACAGCATTTCTCCATGGAGATCTGGATGAAGAGATCTATATGGAGCAACCAGAAGGGTTTGTGAAACCAGGAGAGGAGAAGCTTGTGTGTAGACTTAAGAAGTCTCTATATGGATTGAAGCAGGCTCCTAGGCAATGGTACAAATGTTTTGACTCCTACATGGTGAAGATTGGCTACACAAGCTGTGAGTATGACTGCTGCGTCTATGTAAGGTATCTGGACGACCATTCTCCCATATACCTACTGCTTTATGTTGATGATATGCTCATTGCTGCGAGAGATATGGAGGATATTGATAAGCTGAAAGAGTTATTGAAAAATGAGTTTGATATATCTTGGTGCTGCAAAGAAGATCCTTGGGATGAAAATTCGCAGAGAAAGAAGCTCTAGGAGATTATGGCTTTCTCAAAAGAGCTATATTCAGAAGATTGTAGACAGGTTTGAAATGAAAGATGCAAAGATAGTTTCTACACCTTTGTCGATGCACTTCTCACTTTCAGCGATGCAATGTCCTAAGTTTGATCAAGAGATCAGAGATATGTCGAAGGTTCCTTATGCAAGTGCAGTTGGCTGTTTGATGTATGCTATGGTGTGCACTAGACCTGATTACAACAAACAGTTAGGCAAGTGAGCAAGTACATGTCCAATCTTGGAAGAGAATACTGGAAAGCCGTCAAATGGATTTTCAGATACTTAAAGAGTACAAGCGATCTTGGGGTTATGTTTGGTGGTCAAGAGTGTGGCTTAGTTGTGGGATATGTGGATTCAGATTATGCTGGTGATTTAGACAACAAAAGATCTACTACAAGGTATGTCTTTACTCTTGCTGGAGGTCCTATTTGTTGGAGATCTGTGCTACAATCTGTTGTGGCAATGTCTACCACGGAATCTGAGTATATGACGATGGGAGAAGCAGCCAAGGAATCACTTTGGGTCAATTGACTTATGACAGAATTGGGTGTTGATCAAGGTGGAGTCAGCTATACAGCGACAGTCAGAGTGTGTTGTCTCTAGCCAAGAACCCGGTATATCATGCAAGGACGAAGCACATTCATGTCAGATTTCATAAGATCAGAGAGTTGTCTGCATCTGGAGAAGTCTTGTTGGAGAATGTGCACACGTCAGAGAATGCAGCTGATATGTTGACCAAGCCTGTTATTGTGAAGAAGTTCAAGCATTGTTTGGATTTGCTCTATGTCTTCAAGTGCTGAAGAAGAAGAAATCCTCCCTGAAGTGATTGGAGTTTGTAAGTGACTTTTATGGAGATTTTTGTCAAGGTGGAGATTGTTGTTTCTAAGTGACAAAATATTCTAAAGGGGCCCTGCTAGAGCGAGATTCGCCCCCACGGTACGGTTTCCTTTTTGGGATAGATTTAGGTTTTTCTTTTTTCTAGTAATTTGAGAGTCAAGTTTTTTGGGATTATAAATACAAGATTTAGTGGTTATAATTATTCATTCACACAATTAATAAGAAAATCTTAAACAGTTGTTTGTCTCAATTTGCGATTTCTTTTTCTTAGATTATTCTTTTTTTTTAGTTTGATTCACAACAAATAGATAAACTAAACCTGTCAAATTTCGAGTATACTGATCTAAATTTTCTGACATTTAATGGACATCCATATAGATATACTTTTATGGATTCTTTCTTACTCTATTTATTGCTCACGTAATTTTTTGTTAATATGGAAAAACAGAATATATCCATTTATAGGGTTTCATTCCTTCATCTAATATATGTATCGACATCAATTCGTTCATTTTTTTCACACAATCATTAGTGATCCATTTAGTCATAACTTTATGGATTTATTCTACCTAATTCGATATACAATCCACATGTTTTTCTCCTTTAGTAAATTGTAATATAATTTGATATACAATTCACCTAGTCGCAATAAGCTAAATTAACAGTGTCCAGTTTTTTATTTTACTACTTCAAGCTCGGTAATAAACTATTTACTCACTAATCACATATACAATATAATAGGTGAACCGTTAAAAAATAGTGTAAAATGTATGTCAAACTCAGAAAGTATCTATAATGGATATTAAAATCTAAAAAGTACCCTAAGAAGTAACACATTCTTTAAAGATACTATCAAAATTGGTTTTACCCCGCCGGTTCAGTTCGGCCTACCCGTGATGGTTACCGTGCATGCAGATCGAAACAAACTCTAAAAAATTAATCGTTACATTCTTTCAAGTAAAAGAGAAATTAGTTTATTTTTCACAGTTAAAACAAGGATATGTGAAGTTTTTATCGAACATCTAGTTAAAAGCCCAACTATCAAGAAAACTTTAATAATTTTGATATATGGGTAATTGAGTAGTTACTTAAGAAAATAGGAATAGAAAATTATATATTTGGAAACATATGACAAAATTCAATTGGAAACTAAATAATAGAAATAAATAAAAAATAATCTAAATAAATAAATAATTGTTACTTTGTTAGATTTCTCTATTATTTATTGGCATTATTTATTTTTATAAATAATTTGATTTTGTTTTCTATTTTTTAATTTTTTTGTTTAATTTTAAAACTATAAAATATTAAATACTAAAATTTATACGTATATGCGTCTAATCTATTTTGTAATAAAATAGAACACGAAATTTAATAACTTTGAAATCATGTTTGGGACGATAAAAGATGATAATAATAATATTAGTTGATTTCATAGCAAAAAATATAGCAATTTATCCTAAAAGGAAGATTTGACTAGCTATGTCATTTCTTTCTTTTTTCTTTTGTTTTAAATTAAAGACGAGCTAATATTCAAAAAATAATATTTGGTAAATTATCAAACTTTCAGTTACATCTGTTTCTTTTTGTAGTAAAAAAACCAGTTCTTTTTCTTTAAGACAAACAAAGTAAAGAAAAGTTCAAAATTATTTGGATTTTATATTAATTTCTTACATTTTTTAGTGCAATATAATTGAAAAGATAAAAATAAAAGAACTATTTATATACATAATTAGATCCATATTAATTATAAGATGACAGAACCAAAAGTCACCAGCATCACCAATTCACCACTCTTTTCCAGATTTAAAATATGTTCCATAACTGAGATTTTTGGTTTGTTAAAGATTTCATAAGTGATATTGTATTGGGATTCCATAATTAAGATTGTATTAAATAATATATATATATATATATTAACAGAAAATATATTATATATACATATCACTCCTAAAACTAAAGAGCACATCGATCAATCAAAGCGATGAATCGTCTCTGGTGTTCTCTATTTATCATTGCATTGTGCATAGGGTTAAGTAACGCCTTAAAGAAAAATTCTGTACATTTTAAGAATTCTCTTGGTCAAAATAACATTCTTAGGATTCATTGTATATCCGATGAAGATGATCTAGGCTACCACAATTTGAGCCCTGGACAAACTTATGATTTTAGTTTTCATGATAGTATTGCGGGAACGAGGATCAATTGTGACTTATGGCAGGGACTTGATTACAGGTTTCATGCACATTTCCTGGCATATGATGGTGACATACTCATACCTTCTTTTGGTAGAAATAACTTTTGGGATGCTAGAGAAGATGGGATTTACTTCACACATGATATACTAATTGTACCCAAGTTAAAGTATAAATGGGATTTACTTCCTTTCTTGAAATAGATACCAAACTATTAAATAAAAACATTGGAATCCATATTTAGAGCGTATATTTTTTGATCTCCCTATTCAAACATTTATACTTTCGATAATAACAGTTGTTAGATTTTAAAATGGGAGGATTGCTTTTATAATACCAATTCAATTCAGATTTGTCCCTTTAATATTTTCTAAAAAACTTTGTTCTTTTAATGTTTAAATTAACATTAACCCTGTTTTACCCTTTAATTATCAATTTCTTAAATTTTATTAAACATTACATTAATAGAAACTTAGGTTCATGTACAAGAAATCTTCCATGTATTCATTGTGTTGTGCCATTATGTCGCCGAGACCAAATCCATCGCTTGCCCCAATAAGTTATTTTCTTTATTTTCTTTAATTGAATATATCATTATGATGCAATTACGTATGAAGAATTACAAATTATCAATTTAAAATGTTATTCACTTTATCAAAAAGTTAAATTCAATAAATTATGATAAAAATATATACGAGTACCATATTTTAGATTATGCAAAGAATTACTCGAATTCGTATAAAGATAAGTTAAGTTTTGATATGTTAATTTTCTGAAGAAGTAATTATTAGGAAATCCTAATCCATTTCTTTCGATTCAACATCAGTTAATCTAGCTCGTTTTTCTTCATCAGCCACAAAAATCTACTCTTTATCTGTCCTTATTTTCTATGAACCACAAGTGACATAGATATGAAAATTTAGAGAAAATAAGCTTGATCAATGGGAAAGAAGAAGAAGAGAACGATGACAGCAAAAAAGAAAAGAAAAGAAAACGTCAAAAAACAGATAATAAATATGGAAAAAGAATAAAAGATTGTCGAATTATTACGATTTGAGAGTTAACTAATTTTCCTAAATTTTCTCAGATTTTGGTAGAAGTTGTATTTTACGTTAAAGTAGAATGTAGATCATATGTAAAAGAAATATTCTACAATAAAGTAGAACTTGGTCTAATAAGTAGAAGTTGTTTTCTACCAACATGTAAAATATAGTCTATCCAGTAGAACTTGTAATCTACCGTAATGTAGAATATATGTAATATATAGAATATGTTTTCTACCACTCCATAGAATATTAAAAGAACTATAGAAAATGAAAATGTTGGTAGATGTATATAAAAAATTATAGAAATGGGATTCTATGTGGACGTAGAACATAGAATACACATTCTACTATGTGTAGAACAAATTTTAAAAACAGTTTTTAAATATTTTTTTTCCTTAAATGATACCGAAAAAATTTATTTCCTTTTTAGGTATTTTTGAAGTTTTAAAAAAATAGTTTCGAATTTATTTTTTATTATAACTGCCATAATTGATTTATAAGAGCAATTATGTCAAAAAGTGACAATAAAAACTGAAAAAATTAAGAGGACAAATATTTGTCTCCAACATTCATAATGATTTCAAAATTTTCAAACATGTGAATTTTAAAAGGGAGAATTAGTTTTATAATGTTAATTGAATTAGCATTTGTTCCCTTAATATTTTTTATATTTTGATTATTTTTTGACATAATTATCCTTTTAAATCAGTTATAGGAGTAGTAATAAAAATTAAATTCGAAACTATTTGTTTTTTTAAAACGAAAATTCCAGTATAGGAGATTAAAATATTTTTGGATATCATTGAAGGGAAAAAAATATTAAATTTTTTTTCTTCTAAAATTCGTTTTACGCATAATAGAACGTGTGTTCTACTTTTTATGTCTACGTAGAATCCCATTTCTATAGTTCTTTATATTTTTTACCAGCCCGTAGAATTCATTTTCTACAATCCTTTTAATATTTTAAGTTATGGTAGATTACAAGTTCCATCGATAGACTATATTCTATGTGTTAGTAGAATGTAATTTCTACTGAATAAAAAAGGTTCTACGTTATTGTAGAACATTAATTCTATTTATTAGACCAAGTTCTACATTACTGTAGAACAGTTCTTTTACATGTGGATTTCATTCTACATGTTAGTAAAATATAACTTCTACCAAAACCTGAGAAAATCTAGGAAAATTAGTTAATTTCCTAGAATTATATATTTTCGAAAATCTTTTTTTTTCTCATGTTTTTCTCTATGTTTTTGATGTTTTTGTTTCTTTTTTTTTGGACTTCATCGTTTTCTTCATCATCTTCCCATTGATCAAGGAGATTTTTTTTTGTTTGCGTATCTTGTGATATATCATGGTTTTTATGGTTTTTAATCATGGTTATATGTCTTAATTATAGAGTCTTTTTAGTGACTTTTGGGTCTTTTGGAGTCCTTTCAGGTCATAGGTACGTTTGGAGCTTAACTGGAGACTTTGGAGCACTTTGGAGCTTAATCAGGATCAAATTCGTCAAGTATGGATTTTGTGCTTTAGTGACGTTCGACACCATGGAGAGTGACGCTCGACACTTGTTAGAGAAATAAGGAAAAGGCGATTTTGTTTCCTATTTAAAGAAGGAGTTGGGCCCAAACGTTTCCAAGGAAGCCCAAAACGTGTCTTAGAGATATATATAGGATTTTTATTCCCTTTTTACGATAACCTTAGATTTTTGAGAGAGAGATACTCTGAGTTTTCGGCTTTTGCGATTTCTGAGCTTTTGGGGAGACAAGTCTGAAACTCTGTTCCGGAGAGAGAAGATTTCGAACCCCTGTCTATTAATCTATTATTTCTTTTCTGCAATCTATTCATTCATGTTTATTGCTTCAATCTTCATGTCTGAGTAGTTTGTTTGTTAGGTTTAGGGTTCTCATAAAGGATTTTCTCTGGATGTTTAATTAATTGATTTAGTTAGGGTTCATAATCTATTTAGTTCTTCACCATAGGTTGTTCTTAAAGCTAATTCTGGACTGGCCACCTAGAACTTAGATCTTAGGTTAATTGATTGACACGGAAGTGTAATTGAATAACTGGAAAGAACCTAGGGTGAGCAAAGTAGCTATTCGCAAAGGAATTTGGTTTAGATACTTTGTGAACATATCGAACTTGTGCATTAAAGCTGGTTTAAATCTGTAGGATTTGCAAAGGAATTTGGAATTCTAGGATTTTAACTTAGATAATTCTCACAACGGAAGTTGGTTAATTATAATTCTGTGATTCGAGTTCAAGAACCGTGCTTAAACATGAACCCTGATTAATCGATTGTTCAGCATTCATTGATCTCCTGAGAAACGCCCTAAGCCTAATCTCCATCCATCTGAATCTTACAAACCGTTTTTATTGCTGCTTAGTCTAATTCTGTTGCATTGCTGTTTATTTACAATATTTCTGCTTAGCGTAACTCCATCTACACAAGGTTTATTGAGTGATTTCTTGTCTCTGTGGTTCGACCCCTAGATACTACAACTGCACATCTGTGCTCTTGCAGAGTAGCTTAGGGATTAAACTTTGAGCAGATCAAGTTTTGGCGCCGTTGCCGGGGACTTGATTTCGCCATTAAACCTAGTTTTTGAGTTTCGACCTAGTGTCGAGCGACACCACTTGTGGTGTCGCGCGACACCTTTCTTTTTATAGCCTAATTTACTTATTTTGTTTTCTCTCTTTGTTTTTGGTGTTTCAGGTTTATGCATACTCGTGGAACCAGAAGCAACAAGGACATCCCGCTAGTGAATTTGAGCAACGAAGAGCTAGCTGAGTTAGAGCGAACGAACAGGAAAGCAAGAGATCCGACAATGATGGAAAACGCCAATGGACTTGTTCGTGATGATGATGGAATCTGGAGAGAGCAAGAGGGTCATGTGTGCAATGCGAGAGGCCAAAGGCTTGATGGATATGGTAACATCATTCCACCAGCACCTTTACCAGTGGATGTTGTTGACCAGAATCCACCACCTGAACCGCGTGGGAATGCTGTGATCGTTCCACATCAGAGGAACGCTCCAGAAGATCGGAATGTGAGGGAACCTGCACCTGCAGCTGGTCGTGGACGAACACTTGGAGATTACAACAGGCCTGAGCAGTTCTATGCAAATCGTTCTGCGATTCGCGCCCCTGCGTTTCAAAGAAACGATTTTGAGCTGAAGCCTGTGTACTACATTCTTGTTGGTCAGCACCCCTTTCAAGGCCACTCACATGAGCACCCTATGGATCACAACGAGAGGTTTGAGGACTTGGTCACCAGCATCAAGTACAATGGAGTGTCCAATGATTTCCTCCTCTGCAAGCTATTTCCTTATTCTCTTGCTGGAGAAGCAGCTAACTGGTTGAAGCAGTTGGAGCCAGGATCACTCACTACTTGGGAAGAGACCAGGAATGCTTTCCTGCACAACTTCTTCGATGATGCTAGGTCTGAGGAGTTGAGGACGAAAATTTCGACCTTCTCTCAGGAACCAACTGAAGCGTTCAAAGCTTCCTGGGTGCGATTCAAATCGTACCAGCGAGACTGTCCCCATCATGGCTTCAGCGATGTGCAGCTGTTAGGTATCTTCTTCAGAGGTATTGATTGGAGGTATCAAATGGCTCTTGATGCAGCGAGCAATGGAAACTTCAACACCAGATACCCAGACGAAGCTGTTGAGCTCATCGAAAACTTGGCATCTAGCAATAGAACCAAGAATGCAGACTATCAGCGAAGGAAGCAGGCTGGGAACATGGATGGATCGCAAATTGCTGAGGTGAAGGCTAAGCTTGACTCTGTGCATAGTCTTCTTGTGGGTAAGAAATCTGTCAGATACCCTGCAGGAGTTCAGAATTTCGGACCAGATGAAGCTTTTGTGGAAGAGGATGTTAACTTCATCAATGGAGCTGGATTTCAGGGTCAGAGATTTGGTACTCAGCAAGGGAACACAAATTACAATGGAAATAATCAGAGGAGTACCTTCACAGGTAATCATAACTCTTATGGTTACAGCTCCAAACCTCAGTACCAGACATCATACTCCAACAACAATTTTTCAAGGAACTATGGTTCTCCTCCTACTCAAACTCCTGATAATGAGGTGAAGTCTCTGCTGGAACAGATCTTGGAAGGTCAGCAGAAGATGACTGTGGATTTCAATGGGAAGGTTGATGCTCTGTATCTGGATCTGAATGGAAAAATCAAAGCTCTGAACACTCATGTGAAAAAGCTTGATACTCAGGTTGCTCAGACTGCAGAGTCTGTAAAAAGGCAAGAAGGATTCCTTCCTGGGAAGACTGATACCAATCCTAGGCATTACTGCAGTGCCATCTCGTTAAGAAGTGGTAAAAAGTTGACTCCTGTGCTGAAAAAGGGTGTTTCTGAGGATGAAATCGTGGAGTTGGACGAATCTGAAGAAAAAATTTCGAAGTTGCAGAGCCAGTGTCGAGCGACACCACAACCAGTGTCGCGCGTCACCAATTGCAGAGCAAAGCTGATATTGCTCAAAGTCCGAAATCTGCTGAAGAAAGAGTCTACAAACCTAAGGTTCCTTACCCAAGGAGTCCTAGGAAGTCCAAGCAGGAGATAGATGATGCCAGATGCAAGGCTTTGATGGAGAAACTTGTGCTTGAGATTCCTTTGGTTGATGCTGTGAAGATTGCTCCTACTCTCAGACACTATGTGAAAAAGATGGTGACTAATAATCTTAGTCATGAGGAAGGAGTGATGATGATCTCTGAACAGGTCAGTGCTGTGATTCAGAATAAGATTCCAGAGAAACTCTCAGACCCAGGAAGCTTTGTTTTGGACTGCTCTATCTTCTCTGAGAGATTCAAGAGATCGCTGTGTGATCTTGGTTCGAGTGTCAACCTAATACCATACTCTGTAGCTGTTAGCCTTGGGATGACTGACTTCAAGCCAACTAAGATCTCTCTAATCCTAGAAGATCGATCTAAAAGAATCCCAAATGGTATCTTGGAGGATGTTCCGATTAAAGTTGGTGATTGCATGATTCCTACAGATTTCGTGGTTCTGGAATATGGAGAGGAACCCAAAGATCCTCTTATCCTGGGAAGGTCGTTTTTAGCTACAGCTGGAGCAGTAATTGATGTCAAGCATGGTAACCTTGATCTCCACCTGGGAGATACCATCATGACTTTCAAGATGGAGAAGCTGAAGGATCCCACCATAGATGGTCAGACATTCCAAGTCAGTGCAATACCTGAAGTGATAGTTGGAGATCAGAACGTGTTTGATGCTGAGATGGTGAGAGATCAATCTGAGTTGACGAAAACGTCTACAGAACCAGTGACTACTGTTGATCAGGAAGCTCCAAACATTGCACTCCATCCATCTCCACCAAAGCAAAGGTTGAAGCCACCCAAACACAGATCTCACCCTGGTGCTATTCCTGTATTCCTTGGACGACCTCATGCGCACAACGTTTACACACCACCATGGATGAGACGAATTTCACAGAGGCACTCTTTGCCACTGTCTGATCCACCAGATGCATAGTCTATCCATAGTCAAGCTAATGACTTAAAACAAGCGCTTGGTGGAAGGCAATCCACTGGTAAGTCTGTACATATGTCTTTTTGTTTCAGCTGATTTTCGTTTTTCGTTTTCGTGTTTTTAGGTGAAGCAGAGCCTGGTGTCGAGCGACACCACAATCGGTGTTGCTTGTCACTTGCTTCTGTGAAAAAAAAAAAAAAAAGGAAATCAGGTAACCGGAGTCAAACCAGAAATTCGGATTAGTCTGCTGCAATTTGGTACGAAGAGAACAAGTGTCGCACGACACCATCATCAGTGTCGCGCGACACCATCATTGCAGCCAGGTAAGTTCTCTGTTTTTCATGTGTTCTGTTTCTTTTCTCTTTTGTCACCAACTTCGGATTTGATTACACTTGGGACAGTGTTATTCAAGTCTGGGGGAGGTAGTTGCTGACATTGTGTCTATTTTTCTTAAGAGTCAGTTGTGTCAAAACGTTTTTGAGTCAAAACCTGTTGGAGATCATGATGCTTTTCCTGGAATTATTGTGCTGACCTTTCACCTAAGTGACCACTGCTGCAGATTCAGTCTAGATCCGACTAATGAAAAATCCAAAGCCTGACCAGCTGACTAGAGGCGTCCATGTTTCCAACAGAGTCCACTAACCTGAGCTAAGTTCTGAACTTCACTTTTAACTCGTTGATGTGACTAATGCCTTAGAGCTTGATTCCTCGTTCGTACTTGATCAATGAAAGCCTGTGCGAAATTTAATGTTGGTATTTCTCTCCTTTGTGACGAGCTAAGAAGAAGAAAAAGAAAGAAAAAAAAGAAAGAAAAAAAAGGGCAAAAAGATTGAGATGATTTTCGCTTAGGAGTGAAGGGCTAGGAATGTTTCCAATGATCCCATTATTTCACTTCTAAGTTGGAATGATCACACAAAGGAAGGAAGTGAGGGGTAGGAAAGTTTCCCATGACCCCACTATTCGCTGAAAACCTTTGATACAAGGTAAGGGGACAACTCGGGGACTTGATGGCAAACACCATCAGTACTCGCAGCTTTACTCTTATCGAGTATGCGCCATAAAAAAAAAGAGAAAAGAAAAAAAAAACGATGAATGTGCGAAAAGAATAAGTCTGGGGGAGATTACAAGTTCCATCGATAGACTATATTCTATGTGTTAGTAGAATGTAATTTCTACTGAATAAAAAAGGTTCTACGTTATTGTAGAACATTAATTCTATTTATTAGACCAAGTTCTACATTACTGTAGAACAGTTCTTTTACATGTGGATTTCATTCTACATGTTAGTAAAATATAACTTCTACCAAAACCTGAGAAAATCTAGGAAAATTAGTTAATTTCCTAGAATTATATATTTTCGAAAATCTTTTTTTTTCTCATGTTTTTCTCTATGTTTTTGATGTTTTTGTTTCTTTTTTTTTGGACTTCATCGTTTTCTTCATCATCTTCCCATTGATCAAGGAGATTTTTTTTTGTTTGCGTATCTTGTGATATATCATGGTTTTTATGGTTTTTAATCATGGTTATATGTCTTAATTATAGAGTCTTTTTAGTGACTTTTGGGTCTTTTGGAGTCCTTTCAGGTCATAGGTACGTTTGGAGCTTAACTGGAGACTTTGGAGCACTTTGGAGCTTAATCAGGATCAAATTCGTCAAGTATGGATTTTGTGCTTTAGTGACGTTCGACACCATGGAGAGTGACGCTTGACACTTGTTAGAGAAATAAGGAAAAGGCGATTTTGTTTCCTATTTAAAGAAGGAGTTGGGCCCAAACGTTTCCAAGGAAGCCCAAAACGTGTCTTAGAGATATATATAGGATTTTAATTCCCTTTTTACGATAACCTTAGATTTTTGAGAGAGAGATACTCTGAGTTTTCGGCTTTTGCGATTTCTGAGCTTTTGGAGAGACAAGTCTGAAACTCTGTTCCGGAGAGAGAAGATTTCGAACCCCTGTCTATTAATCTATTATTTCTTTTCTGCAATCTATTCATTCATGTTTATTGCTTCAATCTTCATGTCTGAGTAGTTTGTTTGTTAGGTTTAGGGTTCTCATAAAGGATTTTCTCTGGATGTTTAATTAATTGATTTAGTTAGGGTTCATAATCTATTTAGTTCTTCACCATAGGTTGTTCTTAAAGCTAATTCTGGACTGGCCACCTAGAACTTAGATCTTAGGTTAATTGATTGACACGGAAGTGTAATTGAATAACTGGAAAGAACCTAGGGTGAGCAAAGTAGCTATTCGCAAAGGAATTTGGTTTAGATACTTTGTGAACATATCGAACTTGTGCATTAAAGCTGGTTTAAATCTGTAGGATTTGCAAAGGAATTTGGAATTCTAGGATTTTAACTTAGATAATTCTCACAACGAAAGTTGGTTAATTATAATTCTGTGATTCGAGTTCAAGAACCGTGCTTAAACATGAACCCTGATTAATCGATTGTTCAGCATTCATTGATCTCCTGAGAAACGCCCTAAGCCTAATCTCCATCCATCTGAATCTTACAAACCGTTTTTATTGCTGCTTAGTCTGATTCTGTTGCATTGCTATTTATTTACAATATTTCTGCTTAGCGTAACTCCATCTACACAAGGTTTATTGAGTGATTTCTTGTCTCCGTGGTTCGACCCCTAGATACTACATCTTGTCTCTGTGGTTCGACCCCTAGATACTACAACTGCACATCTGTGCTCTTGCAGAGTAGCTTAGGGATTAAACTTTGAGCAGATCAAGTTTTGGCGCCGTTGCCGGGGACTTGATTTCGCCATTTAACCTAGTTTTTGAGTTTCGACCTAGTGTCGCGCGACACCTTTCTTTTTATAACCTAATTTACTTATTTCGTTTTCTCTCTTTGTTTTTGGTGTTTCAGGTTTATGCATTCTCGTGGAACCAGAAGCAACAAGGACATCCCGCTAGTGAATTTGAGCAACGAAGAGCTAGCTGAGTTAGAGCGAACGAACAGGAAAGCAAGAGATCCGACAATGATGGAAAACGCCAATGGACTTGTTCGTGATGATGATGGAATCTGGAGAGACCAAGAGGGTCATGTGTGCAATGCGAGAGGCCAAAGGCTTGATGGATATGGTAACATCATTCCACCAGCACCTTTACCAGTGGATGTTGTTGACCAGAATCCACCACCTGCACCGCGTGGGAATGCTGTGATCGTTCCACATCAGAGGAACGCTCCAGAAGATCGGAATGTGAGGGAACCTGCACCTGCAGCTGGTCGTGGACGAACACTTGGAGATTACAACAGGCCTGAGCAGTTCTATGCAAATCATTCTGCGATTCGCACCCCTGCGTTTCAAAGAAACGATTTTGAGCTGAAGCCTGTGTACTACACTCTTGTTGGTCAGCACCCCTTTCAAGGCCACTCTCATGAGCACCCTATGGATCACAACGAGAGGTTTGAGGACTTGGTCACCAGCATCAAGTACAATGGAGTGTCCAATGATTTCCTCCTCTGCAAGCTGTTTCCTTATTCTCTTGCTGGAGAAGCAGTTAACTGGTTGAAGCAGTTGGAGCCAGGATCACTCACTACTTGATAAGAGACCAGGAATGCTTTCCTGCACAACTTCTTCGATGATGCTAGGTCTGAGGAGTTGAGGACGAAAATTTTGACCTTCTCTCAGGAACCAACTGAAGCGTTCAAAGCTTCCTGGGTGCGATTCAAATCGTACCAGCGAGACTGTCCCCATCATGGCTTCAGCGATGTGCAGCTGTTAGGTATCTTCTTCAGAGGTATTGATTGGAGGTATCAAATGGCTATGATGCAGCGAGCAATGGAAACTTCAACACCAGATACCCAGACGAAGCTGTTGAGCTCATCGAAAACTTGGCATCTAGCAATAGAACCAAGAATGCAGACTATCAGCGAAGGAAGCAGGCTGGGAACATGGATGGATCGCAAATTGCTGAGGTGAAGGCTAAGCTTGACTCTGTGCATAGTCTTCTTGTGGGTAAGAAATCTGTCAGATACCCTGCAGGAGTTCAGAATTTTGGACCAGATGAAGCTTTTGTGGAAGAGGATGTTAACTTCATCAATGGAGCTGGATTTCAGGGTCAGAGATTTGGTACTCAGCAAGGGAACACGAATTACAATGGAAATAATCAGAGGATTACCTTCACAGGTAATCATAACTCTTATGGTTACAGCTCCAAACCTCAGTACCAGACATCATACTCCAACAACAATTTTTCAAGGAACTATGGTTCTCCTCCTACTCAAACTCCTGATAATGAGGTGAAGTCTCTGCTGGAACAGATCTTGGAAGGTCAGCAGAAGATGACTGTGGATTTCAATGGGAAGGTTGATGCTCTGTATCTGGATCTGAATGGAAAAATCAAAGCTCTGAACACTCATGTGAAAAAGCTTGATACTCAGGTTGCTCAGACTGCAGAGTCTGTAAAAAGGCAAGAAGGATTCCTTCCTGGGAAGACTGATACCAATCCTAGGCATTACTGCAGTGCCATCTCGTTAAGAAGTGGTAAAAAGTTGACTCCTGTGCTGAAAAAGGGTGTTTCTGAGGATGAAATCGTGGAGTTGGACGAATCTGAAGAAAAAATTTCGAAGTTGCAGAGCCAGTGTCGAGCGACACCACAACCAGTGTCGCGCGTCACCAATTGCAGAGCAAAGCTGATATTGCTCAAAGTCCGAAATCTGCTGAAGAAAGAGTCTACAAACCTAAGGTTCCTTACCCAAGGAGTCCTAGGAAGTCCAAGCAGGAGATAGATGATGCCAGATGCAAGGCTTTGATGGAGAAACTTGTGCTTGAGATTCCTTTGGTTGATGCTGTGAAGATTGCTCCTACTCTCAGACACTATGTGAAAAAGATGGTGACTAATAATCTTAGTCATGAGGAAGGAGTGATGATGATCTCTGAACAGGTCAGTGCTGTGATTCAGAATAAGATTCCAGAGAAACTCTCAGACCCAGGAAGCTTTGTTTTGGACTGCTCTATCTTCTCTGAGAGATTCAAGAGATCGCTGTGTGATCTT